GGTGCTGCTGACACGCGAGCGCGAGCATGCAAGCGCGCGCACAATTTTTGGCACAGGACCCCAAAAAGGTTAGCCACCATTGGTCTAGGGTCCCCGCATGAGAAGTGGGTTGGACTAGAAGACCTCTGAGGTCCCTTCCAACCATATGATACTATTAGACGCTCTTGCTACATAACTAGGTATGGAGGAGCCCATCGGAACTTAGAGCAGTCATTGAGCAACTGGTCCTAAGTTGAGGACTATAAATGAAGATACGTTGGGGAAAAGGTGGCCGAATGAGGGAGGCATTGACTTCCAAGGGGGACAAATCCGGCCTTCTTTGGTCCCAGTTTCTTCCAGCTGGCAAGTCTCCTCCTTCAGCGAAACGAAAGCTCACCAGATCCTCCAGCAAAAACCGGCCCAGTATCTCCGCTTCAACCAGCACCAGCTCTCCCGGATCTATCCTTCTTCCTACCGGGTGGATTCCAGCAATTACAACCCTCAGCCCTTCTGGAACGCCGGCTGCCAGTTGGGTAAGGAACCCAGATGTTCGTAGCCCCAAGCCAGTGGCTCCCTTCACGCTTCCGTGCCTCCATTCTTGGGAGGGAGGGAGAAGGAAATGGCGGATAGAGAAGCAAAGCGAAAGGAGACATTCGTGTCGGGGCCAGTTGTCCTGGAGGAAAACTGTAAAGCAGGTTTTTTTTTTCTCTCGGTCTCTCTCTCCCTGTGTCTCTCTGTGTGTCTCTCTGTCTCTCTCTCTCTCTCTGTGTGTCTCTCTCTGTCTCTCTCTCTCTCTGTGTCTCTCTCTGTGTCTCTCTGTCTCTCTCTGTCTCTGTCTCTCTGTGTGTGTGTCTCTCTCTCTCTCTCTCTCCCTGTGCCTCTCTCTGTCTGTGTCTCTCTGTGTATCTCTCTGTCTCTCTCTGTCTCTCTCTGTCTGTGTCTCTCTCTCTCTCTCTCTCTCTCTGTGTCTGTCTCTCTCTGTCTCCCTCTCAGTGGTTAGAATGCAGTATTGCAGGCTGACTCCGCTCGGCTCCCTACATTTCCCATTTTTCCGTCCGTTTTAGTGGCCCTGAACTACCAATCCGAAGGGAGAATGCTGCAGCTCAACCGCGCCAAGTTCGGCGCCAACGGCAACTGCGGCTACATCCTCAAACCCAAGTGCATGTGTCAAGGTAAGACGTCTGTCTCGCGGTCTTCTTCCCTGGAGACTCTATTCCAGGGTTTCCTCTACTGTTGGGAATTCTGGGAGTTGAAGTCCAGACACCTTAAAGTTGCCACGGTTGAGGAACATGGTTCTGTTCCGTGGACTTTCCAACTCGTCTCCTCAACTGCCTTGGGCCAGGCCTTGTTGCACTTCACAGGGAGCATCTCTTCGTTCTCCCAGCATCCTCTTGTAGTATGCAAATGTTCCCAAAGAGCAAGCCACACTCCTTCTAGCGCTGATGATATTATCTAGTTGGGTAATGAAATGTCTCCAAGAAGACAACCAAGCTCAGAAAACACCAAGGATCCCACGGTTCTTTTCTTCTTCTCCTTCTCCTTCTCCTTCTCCTTCTCCTCCTTCTCCTTCTCCTTCTCCTTCTCCTTCTCCTTCTTCTTCTCCTTCTCCTTCTTCTTCTTCTTCTTCTTCTCCTTCTCTTCCTCCTCCTCCTTTCCACAACTTCTCTCCCTTCTAGCACTGATGACGTTACCTAGTTGGGTAATGAAATGTCTGCAAGACTACAACCAAGCTCAGAAAACACCAAGGACCTCACAGTCCTTTTCTTCTTCCTCCTCCTCCCGAAATGTCTGCAAGGACACTTCCCACAACATGTTTGGACCCGGCTTCCCGGGTTCAAAGACACACACACACACACCGACAGACATGAAATGTGGTTCCAACCCCACCTGTCCTTTCTTACACCCGCTCTTCTGTCCATCTCTTCCAGGGATCTTCAACCCCAATTCCGAAGACCCACTTGCCGGCCAGATGAAAAAGCAACTCGTCTTAAGGATCATCAGCGGACAGCAGCTCCCGAAACCTCGCGATTCCATGCTTGGAGACCGAGGCGAGGTAAGTCCCCATTTTTTTTCAGGGCCGCCGTAACTTTGAATGGTCATTAAATGAACTGGATTACCTGTAGTGGATGGCAAGACCTGCTGCTTTTCCCTTATCCGTGGGAA